TGGTGCACACTGGGAACAATGCTCTGGGTCAGGTCCACGAAAGCCTATTTAACCCACAATGCAAAGTAGAAAAAAACGCCTTGAAATTCTAGGAAATGTAACATGGAAAATGAATGAGAAATATCATTTGCATGCTTGTCTTGAATGTTACTGCTGGAGGAAAGAGGGAAGCGCTTTGAGGAGGGTGGGGATGAGGGAGCCAGGTCTCTGAGGAACAGGTCTTAGTTTGCCTAAGGAAACATGCCCTCACATTCACAAGCCCCAGAGATGGCCAGAGGCTGGTGCCAATGCTTGTACCCATTGAATTCTAGAGGCTGGAATGAACACAAGAGGTTTATTCCGGAACACTGAGATTTGTCTGTGCAATGGGTTGACTCTCGAGCTTTGTAGGGAACCCCTGCTGGAGCACTCCAAGGATAAACAGTTGGACAGCTTTAAAAAGAACAGGTTCAGGTCCGAGAACCGGAGCTCATCTGAGGCTCTGGGTTTAATCTGCAGCTCACAAAACTAGGAGTGAGTGGTTGCCACACGCTGTAATCCCAGCATTTGACTGGTGGAGGGCCACAAGTTCAAACTTCAGAGCAGCGTGGGTCTCGACCTTGGTAAGGTCACATATCAGATATCCTGCATATCAAATATTTACATTACAACTCATAACAGTTATGAAGCAGCAACGAGGGGATTTCATGGTTGAGGGACCAGGTTCAGTTTGTTTTCACCATAGTTTGCTACAAAGGTATTTGATTTTCGTGCTGCATCTTTGAGGCAAAAGTTTTTGTCTCTTGAAAGTCTTCCGAAAGCAAGAGCAATATTCTAACATGGGGGAGTGAATAAAAATTATGATGTTGTTTTTGAGGAAGTGCTCTTTTTGGGAAAGACCTACCAACTTGGAATGATTCCAGTCAACACTTTGGAAACCTCTGTAGAAATGGTCAGAGACAAAGAAAGTTAAGTCCCAGTCCTTATTGTTTTCTTTTGAATGTGTATATGTGTCTATCTGAGTGGGTATGTGCACTGGGAGAGCTAGCAGAATCCAGAAGGGGAGAGCAGATCCTCTGGAGCTGGTGCTACAGGCAGTTGTGAGCAGCCGGATGTAGGTTCTGGGAACTGAACCTACTCCTCTTCCAGAGCAGCCAGCGCTCAGACTATTGAGACAACTCTCCAGGCTCTCAATGAAGTGCTTTAAAGATCACCAAAACATTGCTGAGCATGGTGGTACACGCCTTTAATTCCACCATTCAGGAGACAGAGACAGGCCCATCTCTGTGAATCCAGCTTAAGATAGTGACACCCCGTCTTAAACAACAGCAGCCACCAAGGAGAAAAGCTGCTAATTATCACTAGCAGTGTCAGATCTGGATTTAGAGGCCAGGGTGGGGATGTAGCTCAATGGTGGAACACCTACTTAGAATGTGTGAGACCTTGGGTTCTATCCCCAGAGCCACCAAACAAATAAGCAAGCAAATGAATAATCAATTCAGGGGACAAATGCAAAAACAAGATAACATTTCTGATGACATTGCCATATTTGGAATTTCAAATGCTTAGACAGGAGAAACAATACTCTCTTGAAAATGCTGTTAAATGATTCCAGAACAGGCTGTGTGATGATTAAGATGCTAATATTATGGCTGTACATGAAGAAATTTGAATAAAATTTTCATGAGATGTGAGTTTAAAAAATAGCAGTTTGCCTAATGATGGTGGCGAATGCCTTTAATCCCAGCACCCAGAGGCAGAAGCAGGAGGATCTTGTGAGTTCAAGGCCAGCCTGTTCTACAGAGTCAGTTCCAGAACAGCCAGGACTACACACACACACACACACACACACACACACACACACACACACACACAAACACATATATCCCGAGGAGCCTATCTTCCTGTACCCACAGCATCTACTTAGGTCATTAAAGGTCATTGCTTGTCCCTTTGAGCCAGGTCCCCATAGTGCTAAGGAAAGCAGTCAGGCTGATACTGGAAAATCAAAGTTAAAATTGCTTCACTTGGTTCATGAGCCAGCAAGTCAAACATTAGTAATGAAGAAAGTGTCAGCAGAAGGTATGTCACAACAGTGATAACTGCAACAGTCACACACTAGAAACACCGTAAATGACTGTCTTTAGTAGAATGAGTAAATTGTGGTATGTCTGTACGATAGAATACTAGTCAGTAGTGAAGACGAAGCACACATCTCAGCATGAAGAAATCAGTCTTATGAGAGATGGAAACCATCAGTGCAACACCACTCCTTGTTGTAATGTGTGTTTTAAAATGAGGCTGAAGACATGACTCTGTAGTCAAGAGTAGCATTGATCTTGCAGGGACCCAGATTCAGTTCCCAGCACCTATGTTGGGCAGCTCACAATTGCTTGTAACTCCAATTCAAAGGGAATCTGATGTCTGTGGCTTCCTCTGGCACCTACATTCACAAGCACATACCAACCCCAGACACACATAATTAAAAATAATAAAAGTTAAATAAACAGCATACTAAATATTAATGTGGTTTGAATGTGAGATGTCTCTCCTGGATGCCTATGTTTGAACGCTTGGTCCCAGTTGGTGAGTTACTTTAGGAAGGTTGAGGAACATTTAGGAGGTGGAGCCTAGCTACAGGAAATGAGTCACTGGGGGAGGGCCTTATGCATTATAACCTGGCCCTACTTCCTGTTCATGCTCTACTTCCTGAATGTGGAGGCCAGTTAACCCCCTGCACCTGCCACCATGCCGAGCCTGCCTGCTGTCATGTTTTTTCCCCACCGGGAGGAACTGTACGCCTCTGGAACTGTTAGCCAAAATAAACTGTTTTCCCCCTTAAGTCGTTTTTGTCTTGTGTTGTAGCACAGCAATGAGGGAGTAACTATGACAACTACAGGTATTTGACTTTTTCCATGTACATCCCTAAAAGTTGATATTTCCAGCCAGGCTAATTAAAGGAAGATAATGCCATTCTAAAACCAGAAGTCAAATTCTGTAAGTCACTTCTTTGTTTGGGAGACACAGGTGTCCTATTTCAATAGCAGTTTGTTTCTGAAAGACACAGAGCCCACGGGAGGAGGAGCAGGCTCTGGGACTATCACGGTAGCTGTACCTTCTGGGAACTTACTTGTCTCTCCGTGTTTTATCAGATGGAAAAAATAGAAACAGTCACATTTTTAAAAAGTCATTTTATAAGGTCTTGTTGTATAATTGGGTTGATCCTGAACCAGCTATATTGACTAGAAGAGCCCCAAGCTTTTAGTAATCCCCTAGCCTCAGGTTTCTGAGTATTGGGATTACATGTGTGCGCCACTATGTCAATCTTCCTGCAATTGTACAAAAAAAAAAAAAAAAAAAAAAAAAAAAACCAAAAAAAAACCCATTGGCTGAGCTTTTGTGTTAATGTTCTTTTCAGGCTATCCGGTTCTTCCAGAAACCTTTTCTATAGTATTGGCAGCTTCAGGGCCAGATGACTGGGCAATCACAGCCAAGTTCAAACCCTTTTCAAAGCTGTCTGATTTCTTAGTCTTACTTGGTCATGTCTGCCTCACCCTGAGATGGAGGTGATTAGGATGTCTGCTTCACTGGGTAACAGAGAACATTAAATCTGCCTGTAAATCCAGAAATAATTGACAGCCATTATTATTATTAATTATTGTTATTGTTACTTTATTCCTGATTTTGTGTGGTGGGGTCTCATGTATCCCAGGTTGGCCTCAGACTCACTACATAGCTGAGGATAGCCTTGAATTCCTTATCCTCTAACCCCCACTGCACCACCAATGAGATAAGCTTACAGCTGTTCATAACCATTGTTGGCCTGATTTATCATTTGTAAGATAGATGGACCCAAACCAAGGCCTTTTTCATAAAAAAAGCAACGGTTATGTCTTTGTGTGTGTGTGTTCATGTGTGCACACCACCATGCCTGGTTTATGTGGTGCTGGAATTGAACCCAGGTCTTTGAGCATAATAGACAAGCACTCTACCAATGAGCTACATCTCCACCTTTGATTAAGGTTCTTGAGAAATGTTTTAGGTGACTCTGAGGATGTCCCCCTTCTTTGGAGCTTTGTAAGTAGACTAACTCTGGCAGGACTCAGGTTGAACTTTGGGAGCTGAATGGCATCATCCCTGCTTCAAAAGTTCTCTATTTTTCTTTTGGACTTTGCAGTTGAGTTATAGTAACGGGGGTGCGTGGGGAGAAGGGGCACTGCATGTGAGTCTGGTCTTCATCCTTCAATGATTCCACAAATCCACTATCTGGTTTTGAAGGCTCTGGATTCTTTGATGGAGTGGTTGTCACTCAATAACATAGCATATCAACAATGAATGTTCTAGACCAGGTACAGACTCAGGTAATTTGTTCTCTGAGCCTGGTTTACTATGCAAAAGAAAACTAAAAACAATAGAATTCTACATTGCCTGTAGCCATGGACATAGAATGTGTGTGTTGGGGATTAACACTGAGCCAGTTCAGTCAGCTGTTAAGTCCCAAGCATCCTTGATTTTGATGTGGGCCAAGTACATCCTTACAGGGGAGAGTTAGTTACTCTTTTATCTTTCCTTTAATAGATCGGTAGTAAACACCCAGATGCAGCAAGGGATGAATAGTGAAGCAGCAGCTCTGGTTGACTAGGTTTCCCTAATGTCAGCAAGGTGTACCTGATTGGGAAGCCCAGTGGCTTCTTGGGTGGGGGCTAGTGCTGGCGGAGAGATTGTTCAGGAGGTGGCAGGGCAACTGATGCCCTTCCTAGTGACTCCATAGTTTATCTTCATTTGTTAGACCCTGTACCCTTATTTGAGGTTCCCAAAACTTTCACCAAGGTAGCCATGGAGTAATTGAGAATCCTGAAAAACCACCGTTTCTCTTCCTCTGCCTTCTCAGAGTCAAAAGAACAAACCAAGAGTCAAGTGGCCCAAGTTGCCTTGATGGTGCCCCGTTAACCACTAGGTTATGCATGGGCAGAAGTTAGCGGTGGGTCTTTAAAGTACTAGTCATTGTCGTATCTTTCCAGGTCCAGAGCAGGAGGCAGAGACCTAACTAAGGAAGGCCAGCTCTGTCTGAGGTCTCCAGGCTCATTAGAGGATCCCACCTACCAGTGTCTAATGAAGGAGAGCTATTGTCATGCCTGTTGCACACACAGCGATATCAAGCTGCTGAAAGCTGCAGCAGCAGGTCCGGTGGTCACGTGGTGAATTAGTAACTAACACAGGAAAAGGGGCCAGCGTTCTGGTCCTTCCAGTTTGGCTGCCTCTTTAAATCCTCAAATCCAGTTATAGCCTGGGGCTGTGGGTGTGAACAGGTTCCATTACTAGGGGAAAGGTCCCTCATTTTCCCAATCGTCTACTGCAAACCTGCTTTTTAATTTCAGGGATAAAGGCCTAGAAGGAGGTCGAATACCACCCTGTCCCTCAAACACGCAAACGCGTTTGTTCTTTCAGAGTCTGGTATTTCACAGCAACTGCTGATGGAGCCTATATGAGCTGGAACTGCAGCTGCTGGTGAGCAACTGTGTGATATTTATAGCTCTCTCTCTCCTCTCTCTCTCTCCCCTCTCTCTCTCTCTCTCTCCTCTCTCTCCTCTCTCTCTCTCTCTCTCTCTCTCTCTCTCTCTCTCTCTCTCGCTCGCTCTCTCTCTCTCTGTGTGTGTGTGTGTGTGTGTGTGTGTGTGTGTGTGTGTGTGTAAAGGGATGGATTTTTTTCCTTCTGAGAAGCATTGATGCCACAACAGGAAGTGATCTCAGCCAGAGACAATGCAATCACAGGAATCAAGTCTACTGTTCTCAAACTTGAGAATGAGTCAGAATCACCTGGAGGCGTTTGTTAAAGCATACTGCATGGGAGAAGATACAGGCAGGAACATCACAAGTTCAAGGTCAGCCTGGCCTACTTGGAACAACAAAACAACAGGACACAATACCACATGGGCTGGGGAGAGCTCAGTGGGTAAAGTCCTTCAAGCAGATGTGAGGACTGGAGTTCAGATTCCCAGTACCCACAAAAATGTCAGGTGGGTGTGGTGACCCTCTGTAAACTCAGCACTTCGAAGGCAGAGATTGTGTGGTTTGAATAGGAATGGTCCTCCGTAGATGCATGTGTTTGAATGCTTGGTCATAGTGAGTGGCACTATTAGGAAGTGTGGCCTTGTTGGAGGAAGTGTATCACTGAGGGGGCAGGCTTTGAGGTCTCCTATGCTTCAGTTATGTCCAGTATGGCACACAGTCTCCTCCTGCTGCCTTCGGATCAAAATGTAGAACTCTCTGCTCCTTCAGCACCATGTCTGCTTGCATGCCGCCATGTTTCCTGGCATGATGATAATGGACTGGACCTCTGGAACTGTAAGCCAGGGTCAATTAAATGTTTTCCTGTATAAGAGTTGTGTGGTCATGGTGTCTCTTCACAGCAATAGAAACCCAAACTAAGATAGAGATGGTTCAGTGGGTTAAATGTTAATGATCTTTTGCTGAGTTTGGATGCTAAGGATAATCCATGTAAGTTGAGGTTGGCTGTCTTCCTCTGAAGGAACCAGCTTCCTTTTGGCAGCCATAACAGCCGAACACGTGCTTGCCATAAACCTGCCTTGGTCACGTAGAGGTCAGATGCCTGTCTCGTGACAAGGAACCCATCAGAAGTTAGTCACTAGAAAGTCAGATGCCTGTCTCGTGACAAGGAGCCAATCGGAAGTTAGCTGGTGGCGCTATGCTTTACGACCCTGGGTGTGCTTTACAGACAAGCACACAGCAATGACATAGAGAGCATAGCAACCACCCTGGGAGGGCCTATGAGCCATAACAACCAGTTGACCAATCAACACAGGGCAAGCCCTCCAAGCCTGGAGGCACACCAATCGTGAGCCTGTGCGTAAGCCTGTGCGTACCCCTAGACATTCCCCTTATGCTGCCCTATAAGATCTTTTGGGAGCCTGTAGGAGCCCTCTTTTTCTAGCCGTCTGCCATGGCGGGTGGTGAAAGACCCGAGCTAACATGGGGTTAGCTCGTTAAATTACAATAAAGCCTCGTGCAGTTTGCAGCAAGCTCTTGAATCCGCCTGGTGATTTGGGTGACCGCGAACGTGGCCTGGGACCCCGAATACTTGAGTTTTCGGGGGTCTAACACCTCTATTGCTCTGAGACAGGATCTCTAACTGGACCTGGAGCTCACCAACTGGCTAAACTGACTGGCCATGGAACCCTTGAAGCCCTCTTGTCTCTCCTCCCATCGATGGGGGAAATGCTTTCACACCTAATTTTATACCTGGGTGCTACAGATCTGAACTCAAACCCTGATGCTTGGTGTGGCAAGCTCCCTTTACCCTATGAGCCATCTCTCTAGCCCACAAATGATTCCTTTTGTAAGAATTGCACTTTTCAGGGCTGGTGAGATGGCTCAGTGGATGAAGGTGCCTGCTAAGCCTGAAGACCTCTGTTAATCTACCCTGACCATACAGTAGCAGAAGAGAACTGACTCCTGCAAGTGCTCCTGTGATCTCTACACAAGGGCCATGGCTCATGCATACTCACACAAAGACACACGAAATAAAAAAAAACTTTTAATGTAATTAAAAAACAAAAAATGGTACTTTAAAGCCAAGCGCAATGTGGGGTCAAAGCTAGATTGATAACAGGTAGTTTATTAAAGAATAGTACTCACGCAAGGGAGCCAGTGACCAGGCTTGCACAAGATGCCTGCTTGTCCACTCAGCCAGGCAGAAGAGAGAAAAGAGGGGGCCCGTGTCCGCACCTCCCAACTACTTAAACCATTGTTACGTCACCCAAGCGGAAGTGGTCAGTGGTACCTGTAAACAGAATTTCTCCCTATACTACTTTCCTATGTGTGTGTATGTCAATCCATTTTCTCATTCTCAATTTTGTGTGTTGTAGTTTCCTTTTTTTTCTTGGTTACGCTAGTGGATTATTTACTGTTGTTGCTCTTTTGTTGTTTTGTTTTGTTTTTCAGTGATTCATTCCTTCCTTTCCCTCCTCTGCCTTACCCTACCTTTCCCTGTCCTTTTTTTCCCATTGTCTCACTTTCAGCTTATACTGGTTTAGAACAAATTCTGTAGCCCAGGTTGGTCTCTACTCTGTCCTGGTTTCCCTAATTCTGGGGTTACAGGCATTCATTACCATGACTAGCTTTGAGAGGCATTCGTTATCTTAGGAAACTTTGCTGTACAAACCTTGAAAAGATAATCCACAACAAAGACAGCTGGTACAAAACCCACATAAAATTATCTCTCGGCAGTCAGTTCTTCTGGCTTTGTATACAAGTTCATTACAACAGGCATCCTTGGGTATACACAGGAGGATGGATTCCAGATACCCAAATCTGCAGGTGCTCAAGTCTCTAACATAAGTTCTCATAGTATTTACCTATAACCTACACACATACTTCTTTATACTTTAAATTGTCTCTTGATTATTTAAAATATCTCAAACAATGTAAGTGCTGTGCAACAGTTTTTATGCTGTATTGTTTAGAGAATATCGATAAAACATCTGCATATGGCTCAACCTTGTCAGTCGGTAGTTGGACCCACAGATGAAGAACCCATGGGTATAGATGACCGACTTTGGTTTTATTTTAATTCTGCCTTTCTGTATCCTTTAGATTTTAAAACTTGTTTTTAAGTTGAATCATTTCCTTCAGATTCATTCTCCTTAAACGATTTTTAAAATTAAATTTATTTATTTGTGTGTGATCTAATGGAGCACAGATGGAGGTCAGAGAACAGCTTATGAGAGTCTGTTCTTTCCTTTCTCTTCGTGGATCTTGGGGATCTAACTCAGGTTGTCAGTCTTGGCAGCAAGTGCTGTATAACCTGAGCCATGGTACCAGCCCAACAAATGATTTTTAGAATTTGGTTTTTCCTTTTAACACACACACATACATACATACATGTATATAAAATCTTTGATTATATCTTACAGACTTTAATAAATAGGGTTTTCCCTATTATTTGCTAATAATCTAGTCTTTTCTTTGTTCACGGAAATGAAGGTGTGAGACACAAATGATGAATCATCTTTAGGTCTTGCTGTTCTGCGATCTTGGTCTGCGAACGACTTTGTTTTCTCTTAGCATCTGTGGATTAAAGCAATAAAGCCTTTTAACAGGATTCCTGTGTCGTGTGTGCTCCATGAGGTTAAATTACACTCCTCTGCAATTTGGAAGGAAATGGAACTGGAAGATGGAAGTTCAAGCCCCAACTCTGCCACTTTTTATTGGTAACCAAATAAATAACTGTGTAAAGCTATAAGGTCGCATCGCATTCTCTTCCGTGCAATTTGGGACTGCAAGGGACATGGAATTAGTTTCAATTAGGCTGGATTAATGACTTCTAGGCTTGCTTGTTAGTTGAGTCAGCTTGGCCACGGGAACTGGAGATGCTGAGTACAGTTCTCGTCATGGTCAAGTTGATGCCTTGGCTTCCTCACATTTTCTTGTTTGATGCAGAGGAGAAAAACATCCAGACAACTCTGGGGACTCATTTTTCCTCACTTTTTGGAAGATGGACCCTAGAAATGGCTGGAGGGGATGGCAGCTGGATGCCAGAGCAGGTTCTGTGGAGACTCCTCTTCCTGGAGGGGCTGTTTTCAGTCAAAAAGCCCCTGCTGCCTGGTTATCTGGATGATTTGGCATTCTCTCCCCCATGCTTGGAGATTGTCCAGGCTCTTTCCCTGGTGTGGCTGTCCTTCTGTGACAGGGACTTCTCTAAGGGCTGAAACCTCTCTAGGGGCTTGTAGGTAGGTCTTCCTAATAAATCAAACACCACAACACATGTCTGTCCCTGTTGTGTAGCCCATACAATTTGATGACCTTAGAGACAAACTTTATAAATAATTGTTTCTTGTACTACCCACCACAAGCTTGATGCTATGGAAACTATTCCCTCTCTTACATGGGGGACACCTGGTGCTCAGAAAACATGAGCAATCCCCCCAAGAAGCAGAGACAGAGGTAAAGCCCCAGCTGCTTGGTTTGGCCTAGGATTTCAACTGCAGAGTGCTATTCCCTGTGTCACAGACTTCACAGTTTTCCTGTAGGTGGTGCTAAAGGGTCTGATTCAGTCTGTCTATGATGACAAGATTTCAATAAAGGAAAACAAAGTATAAGGAACAGCTTTTCTCCTTTGTCCACCAGTCCCACGGGGGCCAGCAGCAGCTCCGGGGTAACATGATGATGTCACAGAAAAAAGATCAACACAGGGTGATGAAAACATTTCCTTGAGGAGAGATTTAATTCTAGGCATGTTCTGCTTCCACAGAAAGTCAAACCTAGTTTCAGGAGGGGAAGGAAGTGTAGAGCCAGAAGCAGGAAGGCTGCACCTTCCATATGAGGTCCTAGTGTGTAGTTGAAGCAACCATGACTTCTCCTCTTGTTTATAAGGCATTGTGTTCATATAGCTCAATTAAAACTGTAATGTATAATTAAGAAACACAGATTAGTAGATAGTTATATATAATAAACTTACAGTCATGTTAGTTTGGTTTTCTAGATATGCATATGCAGAGATATATTTCAGACAGAGAGGTAATCTTCAAACACTTCAAAGGCCTACAGAATATGGCATTTCAAGTGTCGTAAGAACTTAGACTTTTCTTGACAATGAGACACTTCTGCTCCTTGCAGCACCAATTACTTGAAAAGGATGATGGGCACTGAAAAAGCTCCTTATGGAGCTTGCCTTCTATGTGGCAAGACTAGCCATTTGGGCAAGAAACTGCTCCTGCCTGGTCTGCTTGTATGTTGTATAAACTGGACATGGAGGACCCACAGGAAAGTGACTGCTAAACTTGTCAAAACAAGACAGGATGGCCCTTCAGCCTTCCTGCTTCCCAGAAGAAACTGCCAGACATTCTACAGGACACAGAGGAAAAGCTGACAAACTTTGCCACCACAAGGCAGAACAGATCTTCAAATTTTCTGCTTCATTGAAAAGTCTGCTGAATACTATGGGCCTATAGGCTGAAGATGGATGCCCCAATGTTACACCAGAACTTTGGGTGACTGTCCAGGAAGCCAGATATCTCTGTCATCTCTAACATTTTGGAAGTTGCTTACAATGCACTTCCAGTTTACTTAAGTAATATTATATTCTTCTGGGGTTTTTGATGGAGTTGAAGACAGATAGTTATAGCTTTCCTTAGTTATGATTAGATATAAAACTTTAGACGCACAAAATAAGATAGATGATAGAGTATTTTCCTTAATTTTATCACATACAAATAGACTAAATATTATAACTGTAATTCTTACTTGATAAATTTTTTTATATGTAATTTTACTATGTTAAAGTTAAAACCTTCTTTTTCAATTAGACAGAAAAGGGGTGATGATGTGGGATGTCCTTATGTATACTGTGAAAATGTGTTGCTTTTATTGGTTGATAAATAAAGCTTATTTGGCCAATGGCCAAACAGAGTAGGGTCAGATGGGAAATCCAAACAAAGATACAGAAAAAAAAAAAAAGAAGGCAGAGTCAAAGAGACACCATGTAGCCTCCATAGAAGTAAGATGTCAGAACATTACCAATAAACCA